ATATATATATGAGAGAGAGAGAGGTGAAAAATGATTGAATTACTGACAAACGTTTTTGACTTTCTATATGATCTTTTTTTATTTCAAGCCTAAAATCTGTTAACGTCTGGGCGATTGGAGCGTGACACTTCAATGATTTAGCTCTCAAATGTGTGTGTGTTTGTGTGTTTGTAGCCGGCAGTGTGACTTAACTTCCTGCCCTTGGACCAAGCACGCACATAATCAACTCTTAAAACACATACGCATGCCGACACACACACACCCACCCACACACACAAGTTTGTGTTTCTCTCCTTATTAGGCCCGTTCATTGACTTCCATTCATTTCCAGTCCTTTCCATAGCCTAAACCTGACCCCTGACCCTAAACCTAAACCCCCAACCCAAAAGTGGAGTTCCACCATATTAGGACCAGTTTTTGGTCCCCATAAGAATTACTGGTTTTGACAGGGATGGTGTGTCTACCTGAAACGGTCCTATAAAGGTGACAAATACGAGCACACATACACACACCTGACATGTGACACACGGGCAGCAGAGCGGGCACATCACAGCCGGGGCATTTTAATTGCCTGTAATTTATGCAGCATGTGTGTGTGCTGTGTGTGTCCTGCTGTCAGCCTCTGAGATGATGCTGTGTGACAGCTGCAGTCCAGCCCCTGGAGCGAGCCGCTCATAATGACACATTAGACATACTAATGATGCCTGCGCGAGTCCACTGCTGATGCTACCTAGCTCCACTGCGCCATCCGAGGCCTCACACACACTCACACACACTCTCAGCCTGACACTGACMTTTGTGGCTTCAGATAACTTACTCAAACACTTCTATCGGAAAATTCCTTCTCACTCTTAATACAATGAATGTGATGACAGCCTTTTTGAAGAAGTGCTGAAAGAAAAAACAAGATTTTATATTCAGAAAAGAGGTATGTGTTTAGAAGTTGCTTCTGTAATTAACACCAAGAAGAACACTGATGTAGCTGTATTTCATGTTTATTTACCTCTGTTCTGAACACTAATATTAATCTTGTTATTTGTGTGTTGATGTTCAGGAGTGCTGAGATCTGTCATGCAGCAGGGCCAGTATTTCTGTCAYGAGTGTGGGAAGAGCTTCAGCCAGCCCAGCCACCTGCGCACGCACATGAGGTCCCACACAGGTAAATAGAGCCGTGATGCATGCTCAAACACCAGGTACACCGATCCATGACGCACGTTATACTTTACAACTTCCATTATTAAACATGCTGCTCCAGAGATTGAATGTAATGCAGAGAAATGTATTATTATTGGTTCGTATTACTAATAGTTAGCCTGTTAGCTGAGCACAACCATTAGGACGTACTGCTGGTTTTATTAAAACATGTACAGCAGGTTGCCTTCAGGCTCAGGCCTCCCTTGCAAAAACAGATCTGTGATGTCAGTGGGATCTGCCTGGATGTAAAGGTCAATAAATAAAAAGGGAAGAAATGTTTCCAACATTCAGAAGTGGGATTTTGTGGAAAAGTTATGAGCCAATCTTACTTGTTGTAGATACCTCTCTGAACCACTTCAGGTTGATGAAAATAAGTTCCAAAAGACTGATGAGTCAGCAGCTAGTTTGATAGCAACTAGRAGCAAAGTGGATCACTGCTGTCTTAAAACAGCTCCAGCCTCAAAGGTTTGCAGCAGTTCATTTGAACTCGTATTTTAAAACCTTTACACTGCTGTCATGTTTGCATTACATGGTTATTTCTATAGAATTTTATGGTTATTTTCAAGTGTGAATAGTTAAATGCAGCTAGCCTTCACACCTCCAGTGCTCCCTGGGACACTTCCAACTGAACTTTTATTCTGCCAAAGTAATAGTGTAATGCAAAACTGATAGTGGTGTAAAAAAAATATATATATATATATATTATATATATATATATATATATATATATTAGGGTTGGGCAATATTGGCAAACAATTTAATCATGATTAATTGTGGTATTTGGCTGATAATGATTAATTTGACGATTAATCCCCTGGAGTCCCTGGACACCCTTTTGTCCTGGTCACATGACCAATTTAGCGGGAAAGATTTTCTCTTAGGAAAAATCTGCTCCAAATTGTGTCAACATTACAGACTTTAGGTTGTACATCAAATTTTGAATTGTGTTGATAAATAAATTACAGAACTTTTTTTAAATGTTTGTCATATTTGAAACAGAGAGGAGCACCGAGCAGACTCTGTCTGGTAGCATTAATCATTTTAATCGTCAAGTGCCAAAAAATAATCGATCAATGTTTTTCCTGACGATTAATTGCGCACAATACAATTATGCCCAACCCTAATCTTCAAAATCCCACTTCACCATGTGCAGAATATCCCTTTAAGTAGGATATGACGTTATTAACAGGTGGGGCTCAGACAGAGTTAAATGTAACTCAGCAAGACTCCTCGAGAAATTTCTCTTGTTTTCCTGCAATTTTAACAATCAAAAAAGTATTTCTTAATGCATTTAAATAATTGGACAAAATAAACCTTGTTAGAAATAATAAAATAATACAATTTAATTGGCATTTTACATTGTGTTTATTTATGCTGTACGCTTGAATCTTACTATATTTGTCATTTAAGTCATTAGCAGCCTAAGAGTTCAGTTTTTATTTAATACACAATAACAGTTCTTCTGTTTATCATATTATAAAGTCATCATTTTCATAATAAAATTATTTGTAACTAGAAGAAGTGCCCTTTATGATAATTCAGTTTTCACCTTGCTATGCCTTACAGAGACCTGGACTTGCAGTTGCTAACTGTGATATGAAAAAGTTTTGATCTTTAACTCTGTTTTATGACTTTCTGAAGTCACACACAGCAACTAAATGAAGGTTTTGGCAATGACTAGTTGCTAATCAAGCATCCAGGAGTAATCACTCTTAAATAAATTATGAAATTATCAAGATGAATGTCTGTGACCAACACCATCAGCAAATAGACCAGGATATATGATGCTCAGTACATGTGAGAAGTCCCCTGAAGTTTCCAGCTTTGTGGCCACTCCTTCATCAGCCACTCGTATCTGGACACGACTTGTGCACGCACGCACGCAAACACACACACACACACACACACACACAC